AAAAAAACTGACACACTATGAGCTACTTGCACTCCATATGTTGATCCAGCTGCGCAATGAGCTGGTAATCACCGCTGGTGTTGAAACGTGCGTAAAATTACAGAGATCAGTCTAATAAATCACAGAATGATTTTTACACGAGATTCACTAACACCCACTAAATAAAACCGTGCCCCAGCCCGATTTTTCACTTTCTCAGTGTTTTAGAAACCAGGTGATGCCTTGAAATGGAGAAGAACCAAAGATTGAATGCTTTTAATCTTTTCCAAATACTTATAAGTAAAGCTTTTTCCTTATTCCAATAGTAGTAACACTAGCAACCTAGATGGGAGAGGCAGTATATCTTTTTGTAGAAACCTCTCAGGTACCTCCAAATATGAACATTTCCTACTTCATGCCTTGCATGTATTGCAATCATGGCCTGAATAATGAAGCCTAAGTGGCATCTGTACTCTATACATGTCACACATGAGAGACCAGTTTTGTTTGCTCTTCCCCTCCTTCCCTTACTTTCTTCTTCCCTTTTTTCTCCCTTTATATAGCTGGAGAACAAGACCTATTAACTTTTAATGCATTAAGAGCAAATATCCTGTGGACTGCTCTGACAAATAACAATAGATAGAAAGCTTTTTTAATTTTCATTCACTATTGTCGATGCCGGTAGAATGGCCGTTGGAATATTTCTTCTACAAATATTCTAGCTAATGCAATAGAAAAAACAAATATATATCACAATCTATTAAATATTTATTATTTGCGAATATATTTACAATCATTAAGTGTATATAAAAAACGTAGATACATTCTAAATAGGTATCCAATTTGGTATGAAATAGTTTATTTACTAGATTTCAGTAAAAAAGAAAATGTCAACATTTTGTTTTTTAACCGATATCTGCCATTTTGGTGTCGATATAATTATTTACACAGTCTTAGAAAAAAATTCAAGCTAATTCATATTGTCAGATCGTCAGGGGGTCTCTCAAGGGTGCAGGGCCTCAAAAATTCTTGTCCTCTTTCGTGGATCCATTTGTTTGATACTAAAAATAAAAAGAATTGTATCAGATATTTTTTATCTGGCCAGGGTTTTATAAAGAACACCTTTAAATCCTCTGCGTCAACCTATATTTAAATTTACATCAAATGCACGCAGATGTTTTTCTTTTGGATCACACATTTAATAGAGTAAGTAATAAGATCTGATGCATCTAAGAAAGCTATATTTTTATTGCATACTTAGTTTGGATATAACTATGGCAAGTATATTTCAGAGATCATGATCATACTGCACCATATTAATCTATATCTCGCTATATTTTGGCAATATTGTCTGCAATGTCTAGGCACATACAACTTGTAAGATGTCATCGGAAATGACACAAAATTAGACAAGAATGACAGATGAAATAATATGCGTCACGGCAGCTTGCATTATGTAGGATTCCAATAGTTGGACAATCTGTCAGCAATATATGAGAATAGGGAATGCCAAACATGTGTAGCAATATAACCGCAAGGTTAGTAGGTAAAAAGCCTATATAATGTCAAAAAAAAACGGTAAAATGTCAACTCGTTGATTAGGTATACTCATATGCATATAGTTCATTCTGCGCTCGCTACAAGAGTGCATGAAGTATACCACAGCTGGTTCCAAGTTGACGTCTTGCAGGAAAGCGTACAGAATGTCATAAAAAACCTACGTAAAGTTAAAAAAGTGACATAATGTCACTTTTCAAGTTACGTAATACCCCTGTCGGGCTATATTAAAAATATTGCTTTATGTTGCAATGCACATGGCCCAAAAAGCTATCAAATACGTGAAGCAGGCGTAAATGTATGACACGAATACAATTTTTCAAATCCTAAATGAAAAATCGGGGAAGTAATATGAATTTTATATTTACCCCATTTTGAGCCTGCTAATACAGGACAAGCAGCATGCCTAGTTAGCCGATCTCCATCACCGCTAGGGAACAAGTTGTACCAGAATGCTGCTGTGCCCTTTTTAGGCCAGAGTGCTGTTCCAATGACAGGAAATACTGTCGCTCCACCTTGCTCAACGTCACTCATCTAAGAAAAACAAATAATTGTCAATTCAATTATAACTTGAGTAATTGAGTCCATGTTCATACTTTCTATTGTTTTCCCTGTGCTTGTTGGGTACATAATTTGAAATGAACCATCTACGCAGATTATACTTACATAGAATAAGACCGTAGCAATCCTATTTCCAGTTCCAAGGCTCTTGAACGAATTCACCTCATCTTTCTGAAAGTAAAAATAAAAACCACTCCATTAGAGCACTCTGTTACCTTGAAAAACCCTTAAAAAGTTCATATACAAGGAGGGAAATTAAGATAATGTTTTGAATGTTGTAATGAAAATATCGTCATATTCTGGTGATTGGTTGTTTGACAGAAAACCTTAATTTGACAAGAAAGATACGAGATCTGAAAATTAAGTGATGAGACAGGCAACGTAGCGTTCGAACACTGGAGACGCGGGGCTTGGAGGGGAGATAGGGAAACATGATATCCGTCTTCAGTACTAATTTAAACTCGCTCGTGTCATTTGGTTGGCCGTAGCGATTTTTTTTTTGTGAAACTTTTCGTATTGTGTTCTAAAAATGAATGACATCAATTTAGAGCAACGGTGCGCTATCAAGTTTTGCTTCAAGAAACACTTGCCTACGGAGATAGTGTTTTGTCACTTTTTTCTCTTCCCCAAAGCTGAAAAATCACCTCAAGGGAACTCAGTTTGGGACAGTCGAAAACTTTCAATCGTCTGTAACCTACCATCTGAAGGCTATTACAGAATTGGAATTTCAGCACTGCTATGAGGAGTGGAAGAACCGTCTCCATCGCTGTGTGGCTTCACAAGAACGTTATTGTGAAGGTGACAATATAAAATTGTAATTATATTTGAATAAAATTTACAACAGTCAGTCACTTAATTTACAGATCTCGTACATTTTAGGTATAGAAAAAAAAAACTTTGAAATCCTATAAGAATTCTTACCCTGGAGAAGTCAAAGTGAGGTTCGTAGTGTCCACCAATGCCATAATTAACAACCTGTAGCTGTTCAGCTGTAGCTACGGCCAAACCAGTCATGTCCTCGACTCTCTTGTTGACTGCAGCAACATGTTCATGTTCATCTTCTTCCAACCAGGCTGATTTGCTTATTCTGTACTGAGCTATCTCCAATTGACCAGTTACAGAGTTCTGTACTGTCGCCCTTCGGAACTTAAAATCAAATTTTAAATTTTTGAGAAGACAATATTTATCTAATATTCTTAGCCATGCAAGTTTGTGTCAAATTTAGTTACGGCATTACTGATTTAGGATTTAGGAGTTTGATCTGATCTAGAAGTAGCAGAGTACTTATTTTTCGATGACAAATAAAAACCCTTTACTAGAATAGCCTATTATTTATGTTCTAAAATACGTATTTCGAAAATATCTTAGAATTTGGAAAATTCTGCTTTAGTCTTTGAGCTTACCTTGGGAGTTGCCAGCGTCTTGATTGTTTTGATCTCCGCATCACTCATAACATCGTGGAAAATAAACAGATCAGGACTGATGTGTGCCTGTTCCACTTTAAATGGTGCTATCAGAAGGTATGGATTGTTGTTCGTCACGTATCTAGAAAAACATATTTGTCAATTTTGATGGCATTGTCGATTTTTTTAATTTATTTTATATTCCACACATACTGTTATTATGGAAAACTTGGAATTCAGAACTTTGTTTTTTGAATATTTTACGTCCAATTAAAAGATGTATTTTTCAGTCTGTCAGTGTAACCTCTTTTTTTCCTTTATCGCGTAACTTCAACAACCATTAACAAGAAGGGGTTGTCAGGACCAAAATACGCATTTTTTTCAAAGAATTCCTCTGAGTAGGTCTTTGTCTTAAGACTCATGCCTCAGCGGCACTTGGTACAATGCGCTTTAGTTCACGAGAAATTATGATATGAAGGAGAGTTTGAGTCAAAAATGCTACTACCGTTTTTTCGAAATCCTAATGTTCCGTATTTGCTTGATTTCCATGCGTTCAGATTCACTGAGATTGTATATTGTTTTTATGTGTTTTCAATATATGTGTTTCGTCAAACAGCATAATTTCTTCTGTAAATTTATAGACATTAATTGAAATTAATATCAAAAAGTATTGTTCGTTAGCGGTAAATTATATTGCAAATCACACATGTTGCATCAATTCTTGGAACATGAATTGTCAGGTCATATGATGTATGGTTTTGTTGTCAAGTTGAAAATTTAACATATGATCCAAATTTAATAGGAGGCCAAAGGTAAATAACAATAAGATTTCATTCGGATGTTAATTACATTATCTGTTTGCAGTATTGCAATAATGAGGTTCGTTTTCTGCTAGCAATTTTAAAACAAAACTTGATTGGGTAGAAAAATGATACAAAATGTGTATGTGTGACTTTGCTTTAAATGTTTTGGTGATGTTGGTATCCGAAAATGAGTATAAAGAAGTATAATACGTTATTATTTTACCAATTAAAAAAAAAACATGTATAGGAGACAGTAGCAGCCTCAGGCAATCCAGAACGCATTAAAATATCGGATAGGTCTCACGAGCATATCGAAAAACAAGTACTTTTGAACATATTAAACCAGCACTCAGATTCTTTGTTGACTTACTTCTCGTGAACTAAATGGAATTCCCGACGATCTCTCCTTATGGATCGATTTTCCTAAGGGTATATTCTTATCCGTTTTGAAAGAGCTTATAGAACTGTTTACCTACCTGCATTTTAGTTTTGAAACTAGTTCGTCTGGCAGCGTCAGTTCTCCACGACATAGTGCCTCATATCGTTCTCTGTCAGGATTAGGAGTGTCATGCTGGAATCGAAATGGAATGATCTGAATTGCTGATTGTACAGTAAATCAAATATAGCATAAAAAATAAATTAATGATTTGCGATACACTAACACTATTTCTGCTTAAGGTAAAAAAAAGAGAATGTTGTAAGATTGGAACTGATAAAAAACAAGATATTTTTACACTATGTATAAATAAAAAATGACAAATATTGAAAATCAGGAACAAAAAAAACTTTTTTTTTGTTTTCCGTGATAAACATTTGCAAACGTGAAACTATTAGCTTTTCAAAGAGTTGAGTATCTAAAGGTCGCATATCATCAGACAATGTTAGGTTTAACAGATCTACTAGATGTTAAATAAGTTGGTAAGTTGAGATGGTGCGAAGCTATACAGGGTTGGTTTACGTAAATAACAGGGGTGCAAAACTGATATCACAATATAAATTGTTTGCCAATATTTTTTAAATAAAAAAATGGGTCGCTTTCACGTGTAATTTGAATGTATACAGTGTTTTTTGAAAAGGTACCCCTAGTTATTTTTTGAACAGGTCAAGTTATTTGTAATGAAATATGAAACATTCAATTTATAAAATTGTCAAAATCTGACAATTTTTTTCAAAGCGAATATATCATATTTCATTGCACATTGAGGAATAGACACTTCCGAAAGAGGATTGATATACCATACTATAACATTTTGATGATGCGTTGAGCGATTCAATATCCAAAGGCCCTCAACTTTGACAACCTGTCAGTCTGCCATTTTGAAAGATAAAGTAGGGTGAGACCTTTCTAAAAAGCACTGTATGTGTAAAACTGATGACATTAAGTTGTAAAAAATATTTGTCAATTGTCCACCTCTTTATAATTTGCATCGTTCAAAATAAATTGTGTATTTTGTTACGGTAGACCTGAGAACTCAAAAAGCCACAAGACAGAAATTAGGAGCCGTCAATTTTATACAATCCAAGAATTCGTTTTCCAACTCAGGAGGTGATTATTAGACCGTTATTATTTTTGAATTAGACATCTTCAATTTTGAAACCAAGCCATTTTTATTTCTAATGGTAGTCAATTCATATTGTGAAATTAATTTTGTCTCGCTTTGTAATGCAGTAAGTAACAGGAAATAATACAGCCATTTAGGTAAGTGTATTAATTAATTTGGAATAATAATGTTCCCGATAGTATATACTAAAGATTAAGAAAATATTTAACCATGTGATATAAAATGGTTACAGCAAATATACCACCCTAAACTACTCTAAAGTGCAGGCGGAAAGGTTTAGTAACTCTACCACACTGTCTCCCACTGCAGGCTCAAAACGATATATTTTCTTACAATAGTTACCCCTTCGTTTGTTATTATATCGTCCGTTTCATCATCTCCCTTTTTCTTGTAACTTCCCTTCTGGATTTCCTCCTCATAATAGACTTTATTTCCCTTTGCTCTTTCATGCGTTGGGACCATTTCCAGAAGTTTGTTTGTCAGGTCTAAAGCAAGATTGATATTTCCTAAAAAGACAAAGATGCTATATATATATATATATATATATCTGGACATCAGGACCATACTGTATTAAGTCACTTCCATATAACTTTTCAGGAGAACACTTTGAAGGTTTTGATTACCTATATTATTTTCTTAGAACTGCACATAGTTGAATTAATTACTGTATATCGTAAAATGATAACTGCTGTTGAATTTGGTATTAAATGGAGTTTATTTTCTAGCTCTCATTTAAATTAAAACAATATTTTTTCATTTTTATGTGACTTAATACAGTCTGGTTCTGAACTAGGACTTAATATTTGGTGACATAATATCAAATTATGTGACATAATACTCTATGGTTCTGGAATTTTCTTGGAGAATTTACATGTTGGCAAATATAAATAAAAAACATTCGAGAAAAATAAGGTTTTTTTCATTCAAATAAAGAAAATATTGCACAAAAAATCGTCTTTGTATATTTCATCTGAGTTCCATGGGTAGCCTTTAGGTTTCCTCGTCTGCTTCGGCTGATCCATGGAATAGATTGTTGAAAAAGTTGTGGAATCGTTTAGGAACCCATTTCAGTGTCTTTTGAATATCCAAGAACTTTTTTGTCGTAATGGGCCTCATAGATTCTCTAATAGCTTCAGGCATATAAAGTTGAGATCCGCTTTTCTGTACTCGCCGTTTCTTTCTTGGTTCAGATTTGTTGAAATCTACTTGCTTGAATTCTGTATCATTAAAAGCGGTTTTAAAGTATAATATTCCCATTGAGTCAGCAAAAAACTTCATATGAACTACTTTTGAAATCAAGAAGGGGTGTCCAGTATTAGTTTTTTTCTTCGGTTGCATAGGAGATCTGGCATTACTTTGGAGATCGTTGAAATTCTTGAAATCAAGTAGTTCCATTTCAGACACATCTATTTTTGGGCCACAGAGTCGTATGAGCTGTTGCCAGTCCCATGAAGTTATAATGGAAAACTTCGGTGAGGTTTTCATGACTCTTCACCTGCAGCATCAGAAAATAACACATTACCATTTGTAAATTTCGATTTTGTGACGGACAATTATCGCTCCATACCACTATATGGTCAACGCTATCGGGCAGGTTTAATACATACTTCATTAAGCAAGAAACCATCTCATTGCCACCTCGTCCAGCTATGGATTCGTCCCATATGAAGCAAGAAGCAGACTTCTGTGAGCTATCGTACACAGTATAGTTGAATGTCCAGAGCTTCAGTAAATAAAAGCTTTGCGAATTTTTGAGCAAAGGCGTAGGTAAACTTTTTTGTAAATCAACCATCAGAACCCTTGTTGGTTTCAGAACATGATTCCTTATAATAATAATAATAATAGACGTCTTTATTTATCCACAATTACATTGTAGTATAGCCAAATGTCAGACTTATATGGCGAAGTTTAGCATGCTGCTACTCTTACACTTAACCATATAGTCTCTAGCAGATGTTCAAAAGGATACACTATCCACAAACAGATTTGGTTCATTACATCCAAAGTAAAATTTAAAAAGGCATACTTTCCAAACCCAAATGCACCAAAAAATTATTAATCTGAATTAAAGATGGAATAAAAAAGAAATGAATGACTACGTAAATTATATGTTTGGAGGGTTGAGTAATAATGTTTTAACTTTTTGTCGAAAGACAGGTAATGAAAATCCTTTATATACTTTAGGAAGGTCATTATAAATAATAGCAACATTGTAAGAAAAACTGCGTTTAAAAAGTGTAGACGTATGCAGGGGTATTCTAATATTATTTTCTCTGAGAGTTCTACAGTGAACATCATTATTAAATGAAATTTTTTCCTTCAAGTAATAAGGTTTAGACGTGAGCAGCAATTTGTGAACAAAAACTGAATAGTGATACTTGACCATGTCATTAATTTTTAACCAGTTTAGAACGGGATATTTCGCCGATACATGATCAAATTTACGTAAGCCAAAAATGAATCGTATACAATTGTTTTGAATAACTTGAATAACGTTTTTAGTGAAATTGTCTAAACAACAATAATTTAGTATAGATATGACCAATGCTTCACATAGTTTTTTACGGATCTTAAAATTTAGTAAATACCTGTTTGCTATAAGAGTGCGCAGCCGTAGGTAGGTTTTTTGAGATAGACTTTTAACATGTTCAATAAACCTTAATTTTGTATCAAAAACAACACCAAGAATTTTTGCAGAATCAGAAAATTGCAAGATTTGGTTATTTATCTGAATGTTCAAGAGCTGTGTTACATTGTATGTTTTCTTTTGTGCGCAAAACAATAACATTTTAGATTTTTGTGGATTAATAAGTAGATTGTGTTCTAAAGAGTATTTAATTAATTTATTAACATCGGTTTGTAAAATTTGAGTAGTATGGGACCTCGGTTGGCCGCGCGGGTCAGAGTGTCGTGTTACTGATCAGCTGGCCGGCCGGGCCGCGAGTTCGAATCTCGCCTTCGCCATGGATGTTGTGTGTTTGTTTTAGGCAGCAGCGGTGGCCGCAGTAGTAGACTCTTCGGTCTCCTGATCAGTCGCCGTGCGCTGTGCGGGTTCGAGTCCCGTCCCAGGAGAAATTTTTCTCTTGGCTATGGATGTTGTGATTGTCCGTAGGTGGTAGATGGTCTCTGACTGCCGAACGCGGAGGTACCACCCGGCGGTTCTCGTAGGCGGAGCCAGAATGTGTACCATTCTCCAATTTCGAATTATTTAAAGTATGTCGATTAGGATTTCCCTGAATTATTCAACATCAAGGTACTTGAATTACGCAACGTCTTCCTTATTAAACCAAAATTGTGATTCTAATCGTTCCTACTATTTCCACTCCTATCCCTATTTTGTACGACTTTCTGATTCACTCCAGAGATTAGTTGGAAGCTATAGTTGAAATAAATCCTGATCCATAAAAATGATTGATAACTTACTTGCGCTTGCGTGAGAAAGTAAGGTTATGTTGGCGGAATCACGATTGCAGTCAGCTTCGTCGCTTTTGCAAGCCATCTGTACCATTCTCTTAGCTCGACCTGACATTATAGTTGATCTATTTTGATGATATTCTTTCTAAAGTATAATTATTATTTATTGCAATCAAGTAGCGTTGTATACTCAAACCTCTGTAATCAACAATAGTCAACAAGTAACTAAAAGTATTAAGTCCTATACACGCTTAACCTTGCATATGGACTTAATACCTAAACTCCGGACTTAATACTAAAGGAAGTTCTATTTCCTCGGGCAAAACAGTATCAAGGGACTTTGAAACAGTTTGCCTCGTCACCAAATTGGACATAGTACATTTTATACTGGCTTATTTTATACACGGTACCAGATAGGACTTAATACTCAACGCCAATGGAAAGAGCGGGAAAAAATAGCATGGTTTCATTCAAAACCTGAAAATGTGAGAAAACTGGACTTAATACCGTATGGCTCTGAGGTCCAGATATATATATTCTGGAATTGGAAAGAGATGCGATGATCTTGTTTTGTTATTTGCGCAAATACTGACTCTTCATAAATTGAGCATTATTTAAACATCATTCAAAATATAAAGCATTTAATACATTAATATCAAATTTGCATGCCTTTGTTGGAGTCGTCTTACCTTCTTTGTATGTAGAAAATGCCAAGTATTCTAGAATTTCACCTTTGTCTACTGTTTTGTTTTGTTCTCTACTCAATCTAAAAAAAAGCAAAATGAGTAAATGACAGCTCAATCAAGAACTGCCGATTCGACACGTTTTCAAAAGAGATCTTCTCAAAAAGGTCCTTACCTTTCGTCAGCTTCTCGCATCCACAATAGTGTATGATAGAAGTCTCCGTTGTTATAGCTCTGCCTGCCCAGTTCAAAGCAATCAGCTGCTGTTAGCTCTGAGCTATACTTCACACCGTTTAGTTCGCCTCTTGCCAATGAAGCGGTATCTAATCTACAAAATTTACAACAGAAAATATAAAATTTAGAATATACGTACAGTCTTCAACAGCTTCCAAGCTTTGACGGCACGTGAAGCAAATATTACTAATATTGAGAATATTACTATGAATTATTTCCATCACTGTGCCTGTAATATGAATTTTTAACGTTCTTCAAGATGCGAGCCTTTTCAGCTCTTTAGGTGTACTTTGAACTTGCAGTTTTTTCTCCCCCTGGCACTGACGCGGCAGTATTGTTAGCGCGAAAAATTTCCTAATTGAGTTATGTTGACTTGTTAATGTTAGATGAATGTGCTCATCATGAAAAAATATGTAACTCATTTCCATCGGTCTGTCTGTCCACTAATCCTTGTCATGCCTAAAACTTGGAAAGTACTGCTCGGAATTTTCACACAACGTTATTGCTATATACCAAGGACGGAAAAGTTTTGTAGTTTTTGAAAATTGGTACAATGGTGACGTGGCTAGGGGCAAAAAAATAGTTCAAGCTTAGTCTGTTGGCGTTTCAGGGACTTCTGAAAATTTTCAGAAAAGGTTTTGTAGGGGTTGAAAATTGGTGGTACTAGGGAAAGGGAAGGTATACCTCAAGTTTTGGCGTTAGTATATTTATACTCCTCCAACCACTATATATATATATATAATACATATATATTTCATACATCATAGATTGTACTGTAGATTTGCCCTAATAATATTGACGAATCATGAAGAAATACTTTCATTTCACGCGTCCCACGTAACTGAACAAACGTATATACCATATACTTGCTTCTAAGTCTGACTAAAGGGAGGCTGCATTGCCGTGCTGGGTTGGGGAGTGCAGAGGTTAGTCACAGCAACGTTGCCAAATGGTGGGTATTGTGTATGACTGGATCCATTTGATATTTTGTTATAAATGCTCATAGCTAAATTTTTTCTCAGAGGGGCTAACATGATCTTTACATTTTTGATATGTAATAATTGGAGATTCCCCGAATCGCAGAGTATTCGGCCTTCGCGTTAAAACAACTGTGAGCACTAGATCGCTGCTTCCATTTACCTGTCGATGCCGGCTCAAGGATTTAGAGCCCACCAGCCAATGATTTTGAACATCTTGCGTATCATTTTGACGGCGAAAATAAGATTTGAACACACACTTCGTGGATGAAAGGTTACGATAGGTCTCATTGCAGTGCAGGGCTGCGTCGAGATTTACAGAGCATTGTCGATAGACTATTTTGAAATATGAACAACTTGATGTTTGCGCCCATGTAATCCGAGTAATTGTAACCTAGTTTTTATGTGAATACCGCGGTTTTGCAGTTTTCCCGAGGTTTTACTAATTTGTTATGTGGAATTCTTTTTCATACCATACAGGTGGTACCCAAATTCATAATGTTATCAATAGACAGACCCGTAGGAATTCTTCACGGAATAAATACTTTACGCAATGCAATAATTACTCATCTAAGCTCGCATCAAAGAGCCAGAATGCAATACTAACAAATTTCAAATATGTAGTAAACAAAACAATGCTAAATGATGCAACTAGCGTGCAAGTCGGCCAAGTTTACTGGGATGTCAAATAGACGAGAAATTGATATCCAGGAGTTAAATATGTTCGCCAAAAAAATATCGAACTATTAAAACATTACTTAAAACAATTTTAACGCAGCCCACCAGCACCAGTACACTTTATAAGAAAATAAATCTCAATGCAAATCACAAAAGCATTGAAATGCAAGACAGTTTCTGGAGTTGCCTTGAAAAAGTCGCTAATCGAATATTTGTGGTATCTCTAATAATGATATCTTCGTAAAATTATTTTTTTTCAGACGGTACCTGTATGTATCCTGTAATCTAATCACAGCTGCTGCAGCTCCATTTAGATCTTCATCTGTAGGAAATTTCATATTTTCTTTGGCATAAGAGATATTTGCCATGTAATCTGAAAAATATGACTCGTAATAATTAAAATACAAACGCGTTCGAAAATAGTAATGATTTACAGCGTCTGTATTATAGATTCTAATGGAAAGCTGTGCCTGGCCGGAAGCGGGCTTACGTACCATGGCACCGCCAACTACTTATGCTTACAACTATACAGGGTGACTTCGAAGTTGAGTCATTTATTTTAACAGTGAGTAGATCTGATCAAAAGAAATGTTTTTTTCCTTTACCATTTTTCTGGTAAAATTAAAGTAACAAAGTTATAGCCCTTTGGAAGTTTGAGTACCGCCCTGTCTCAATAATAATATTATGTGCTCGTGTTTGGCAACAACGGATATAATCCGCCTTATCGTGTCTGTTGCGTGGCTCAAACGAAATCAAAAATGGCACATGTTTATGCGGATCGGTTTCCCAATCGAGTGCAACCAACCCCTCGTGCCTTTGTTAATGTAGTACAACGGGCTCGTGAATCAGCTGACTTAAGACCTCACAGGGGACGGCATGCCGGTGCTCCAAGACCTCACGATCAAATACAGGTCCGCACTGAAATACTTGTCGGGAGGATACTTTATAAAACAAGGTGAATTTTTTTTAATGTTTTTTTATTTTTACACACATATTTTGGTTTATCTTCCTTCTATACGTACAATCATTATCTGAAAATTAATGACTCAACTTCAAAGTCACCCTGTATATACGAGCATGTATACAGGGTGTTCTCAATGTAGGGACTTTCCTTCATAGAGCGTATAGGCCAGGCAAAAATAAGCAATTTTTACTAGTAACACATATACCAAAGCCTTGAGATAACCGAGGTATAAAGTTTCGAAAAGCTATTTCGGCCCTTCCTCACTCCCCTTTTATGTCAGAAGATGTTTTGTAGTATTATGTAGTATTATGACTGTGTGAGTAAGAATCCAAATAAGGCGCCACGCAGTGTGTAGGTTAACGTAGTTTATAAACGTTGCTGTGTTTGAAAACAGAAATTGGCACGTTCGTTTATTAGATGTCCTTCAAAGCTACGTAAATTTGTTTACATCGTGCAAAATTCGACCAGATAGACACAGCAGAAAACCTACAGTCTCAAATGTTGCAAACTGTTTAAGAAGTAAACAAACTCGTATCTTTGAACCGAACAGAAGCAACTTCAAGCAGTAATTACAAACAAAACATGTGACAGGATAGCCATTGAAACGCCGTTCCATATAAATAAAATGAATATTTTTGTTTAATTTCTTTTTTCGTTTTCGGTTTTGTTTCACGCTTCACCGCAAATTAACCTTGTTATATTAAACGTAGTTCTTTCTGAAAAGGAAAGTCCCATCTTTCAGGACACTGTCTACCAGCAAGTTGTGGTGTCAACGTTGCCCATGTTAGCTGAGGTTTTGACAAATTCTGAGAATACGAAGTCTTAGGAATAGTTACGAGTTTGGAGGATGATCTTTCTTTGAAACATTGATGTCATGTTTAAGAATAAACAATTTCCTTTAAAATATGGACAGAGTCTGTTTTTATTATTCCCGAAGGAATTGCTCTGATCTTACTTGGTAACATGGTGTATCGCTGCTTACAGTATCATTGAAGATGCTTCCGTCGGTAAATTTTTTTTAATCAAAATAAAAAGGTTTTCAAAACGTTTCTAGAAGCTTTACAGCAAGTTGCATAGAATAACCATTTTCTTAAAATTGATTACATAATCTCAGCTATTAATGCTATCAGGATTTTTTACTTCAAATATATTCGATTATATTAAATATATTGAGACGATAAACCTATTTTCACGCAGTTCCTTTTGCTTCAATTTTCAATTATTGCCCATCAATAATTAATGCTTTTTTATTAACCATTTATAATTACCTTTACTAACGTCCGTCGTTATCAGTGACTCCACCTCCTGCCAGTCTGTTGTCATCCGTTTTACTAACGTATATGCGTTCAGGGGATTCGCAACATACGACTCGACATCTTCTGTTGCCTTATTATGCTGCTTATTATAAATATCTGCATACCTGTAATCAGAGGGATGGATTCAGAGAGAAATTTTGAAGAAAGCACAAGGAAGAATCGCTTTGATTTGTTAGTAGGTGCCAGTGAGAACTAATTTTATTGAGAATGCGATTATGAACAGCAGTTTTAGACGTTTAAATCAATTCGATATTGAAACAATTTTTCCAGCACATGTTCCTCATGTAACCTCACTATCATACATTAAGAAGAGATAACCAGTTGAGGCTATTCCGAAGCATTAGACTTCTGAGCCAACCATTGATTAGACGCAAAGAAAAAGCAAAAGCGAATTTCGTTTCCAATGGTCTTTCTTTTTTTTGGGGGGGCTGTTCCCCAGTATGTGCTCCTCGTGGATCCACCCTTGGATTTATCACGGTCATCTAATGTTTATGTTATTACGTAAATAGTGATTTTGTCATAGTTCAAAACATGCTTGCACAAGTACTAATAAAGCAATTTTTCCGCGGGTGGTGCGTTTTCGTAAAATTGATCCATTAAATATACCTTGCAGGTTTCTCACAAGATGTATTTCTAGTTTACATAAATAAATATATTTTACCTTCTAATTCCCCGGTAGAGTAAATAGGTAGAAGTTTCATAGTCGTAAATATTTGTAATGACTATGTTACGTTTGTATATTCTAAATTATTTACAAGACTTAAATCAATCCCAATCTATGGTTATATCTGGATTAATGAACATACTCCATAATAAACGTTGGACATGTTTTCGAAAATTTCCCGATGTCAGTATGAAATGTAAATAGGTTGATGAACATTTTCGAACATTTACTAGAGTAAAGAAGATCTGTCAATACATGTGGTTTTATTGACCAGATAAGCATGGGGAATTATGAACAAGTAGCATTTCTTAAAATAACTGCTTAATATAGCAATCGAACCGTAAAGAAACGATGTCCATCTCGTAAAAAATTCTTCTGTACAGACAATAATGCGATAAACATCTGTTGCAGTTGTAAATAGAGCCCGGAAAGGAAGCATTTGTCATTAAATATACAGTACGCACTGTGGTGTGATACCGTGATGAAGTGATGAAACTAGTGATGTATCTATTCAGGAATTTAAAAAATAGTACATATTTTTGCATATTATGCTTGCAGTGAATCTCTATGGCAATAACTGCATTCTTGCAGAAATGACATATGAAACAAAAATTGCAAATGTAATGTAACTCTGATTTCTCATTTACTTCCAGTCTATAAATTAACATATGGAAAATGAAGAAAGCTAGAGACAATTAAAGAAAAGTAATTACAAAGCTCACAAGTTGATATAGTCGTTAATATTGCCTCTAAATAGGATTAAGAATGCGTATACAAGATGTGTAGGCTTTTTGCTTTCAATTAGTTGATGTAGCCTTGAAATCGAGACATATTACGATGTGTAACAGTTAAGAAGAAACTTGAACTCAACCACTTGCAAAGGAAAGAGTTTTGATATAGGGTGTGATATCACTTTTTAACGAAGCACATTGTCACATTTTTTGTTTTCCTCGATGCATGGAGAGTACAAACCTTTTCAGAAGATCAATTTTCAACTCTTCTGCACGTATGTAATTCTCAAGGGAGTGTATAAGTACCGCTTCGGTATTGAGCAGTTCCTGAAGATCTGCCAAGGCCGTGAATACCTCGCATCTTACTTGTGAAAGGAACAACAAAGGAACTATAAGCAAATGGCACCGGAACATTTTAAAGCTTGGCGTTACCTGTAACAAAAAATGCTGTAAAGTAGACTGTCTCAGCATCCGTAAGCACGACTTCTAGTCATCTTAAAAGCGTTTGAATTGTCTTCAAGTGTTGTTGATAAAACCTTTAGCTAAGAAAGGTGCAGCTACGTTATAGTCAAGCGGAATCGCATAATAACCCTTTGTTGCGTAAGTCTATACAGTCGAGCAAGTTCGCAAGCACACAAGACCACGACTCGCATTGTGAACAAAATTAAATCGTGCCATTTTTTTTCTCCAACAACATAAATTAGGGGTCAATTTAAAATTCCCGAAAACAGGCTAACAATGCAATGGTACCCCTCAGGCTGATGCACTTGTCTCTCTTTGCTCTACCTCATTTCTTCCATTCTCTCTTCTGACCTTTTTTTCTCCCTGCCATCTGGGCAGCCAGACCTGACAGACCTACTGACCTACGATACTTACTAAGAGAAAAGATCCTAATCACTTCTCTGACAATGACCAATACAAGCCACCCACCCCGGAAATTTCCTCGCAAACGTAAGAATATTCCTCATCTATGGTTGTCACCGTCAATGTGACAGCCCACTTGTCATGGAGTGTGCGATTTGAGCTCACTATTTGTTGATATCCTTAATATATAGCATATAATCAATTGTTGATTTAGTTAGAGTATGTTATGTCTTTACCCAATTTATGTGTGCAAGAGCAACTGCATTGAAGGTCGGTCCGCACAAGGTCTGTTTACTCATTACGTCTGATATTGATTACGTAACCACTAAAAACGTGAAAAGACCTATAATAGTCATATAATGAACCGCGATCTCAGAAACAAATGAGCAAACCAATAATCATTAGATATTGTTTAGCAATCCGCGCCTTCGGCTTTAATTTTAAAGACTGCAGATAATTGTTATTATCTCTATTTTTATTAAGCAACGCAAAATAAGTAGGTGTCCCAAATGGGCTGATAGTTGTATGCAACTGAAAATGTCCTTATTGGTAGTTATTGGAAAGTTTAATGCGATTCAACTAGCAGTAATGTCGCAAATGTGATAAATGTGTGAACAAAGATTGCGCCTTCCTATAAATGCTACATCTTTTGTATTTTCGCAATCATTAAGCGAATTGGGAATATCAGCGCACAAAGATACAGTCGCAGAACTGCTAAGAGGTCTGTAAATATCAATTATACTAAGGACTCATAAATCGTATCTTATGTAACATACTTCTTCAGTTTACAAACGTGTTTAACTTATATACATTATTTACGACTTACAGTTTTCAAATGCACTAATAAGTATATTGGCGATCTTCAATCCCTTAAGAAAAACAGTTAACAATAAATGAATGAATAGACTACAAGAAAATTTATAAGATATAGGATTGTATCAAAAACGATTTATGTTGAAAAAATTTGATAGTATCTGTTGAGTTTACATTTCAAAAGCATTCGATTAGAATATTAACTTGTACGATTTCATCAAACAACAAACCTTAATCTCATTCTGTGTATTGAATTATAAATTAAAATTAATCTGATAATAAAGCAGTCAGGTTAGTTTCCTATATGGGCATTATGTACTGACAATAATTGATTTAAAACGTCTGAGGCGATAAAGATTCATTGACAGATTTTAGTTGCATAGACGGGGCTATCTAGCCAAAAATGAACCGTCCCTTAAAAAAAACTACTTATACCATATATCTGAAAAAATAGTGACTTTCAGTAGCATTCCAACATGATATCACGATTTCTGTACATAAATTGAAGGACAAAATACATTTTAGATCAAACCTTCATACTTTGAACATGAGGGATCAACTATCTCTAGACATGCCTTCTCACTCAACAAGCTTTTTACAGAGAAGTTTTACATATCAATCACGATTTTCAACTCACTTTCTTTAGAACTTAAACATTACTGGTACAAAAATTTAGTGTAGCACTTAAGGAATATTTGTACGATACAAATTCTTATAACATTAACGCCTAATAAAAAAGTTACCAAAAAAATATTCAGTCCTCTAGATGAGCGACTTTTCATTAATCGTCAAAGAAATAATTCCTTTATTAAACTCGTATGGCATTTTTTTCAAATATCCTGGTTTAACACCTCTACATCGAATAGCGATACTCAAAAATCAGGTGACACTGCAATTTTTATAATTATTTTTTTTGATATGGATGAAAGCACATATAGTAACTTCAAATTAAGAGTAATGAACAATATATAAAATATTAAATAAATATTTTTATACGTGCTAAAGCATATTTGAAGAGCAGGATATGACTTCCCTTTTTTATTCTATAGGATTTCACAATTAATAGCAACGAAGGTTATCAGGGAAAACTAGAAGAACAATTTGTTCAATACATAACTCCAGTTTGTGCAGAAGTTGTGGTGTTCTTTTCAGTTATAGTCTTCGTTCAGATAAAAACAAAATTAGAGAAAATAGGGCAAAAATATTCATTTATTTTCCTTGACATACAGATTCATTAATACGTTGCGCGAATAAATCGTTATATAACGTATGTACCACATACCAACAAGCACAGCAAGATTCATCTCTGCTAACCATAAAAAAAGATGAGAAAAGACGTAACAATTTACTCTTGACATTTGCGATGCGGCAATATACGATTCTTTTTTAATTTAGTGATTTCTGCAGAAGATAATTACGAATATGTTGGTAAAGGATGGTCGATATGGCACAATGTCCGTACAAGTTTAATCTTTCATTAGGCCTTATGAATTTACTGATTAATTAAATAATAATAATAATAATAATTTAATTTTTATTTGATATTTATTAGTTTGTGTCTATAAAAAAGTACTAATACCGCAATAACATGAACGTTTCCCAATTTCTTGAAAAGCTTAGGACACATATTGCACCTAAATGACCTTAACCAAGAGCAAATATTTGATCCGCTTAGTCTTTAATAAGTTTTCTCTACAGTTGGATATTATAGTTATAAGCGAGTTGGTGTCCGAACGAGCCTAAAAATGTGCATTTTTAATACTCAAAAACGCGGTATAGAATCATTTTGAAGTGGCCAAATTAAAGCTTGGATCTTCCTCTGCGAGATCCCAAACATTGATTTCGGTTTAGATCATGTTAAAGCAGTAATTAACCTTGCTTAGTAGGCTAACAAATAGCGAACTCTTGATTTTTGCAGATTGTACTTGTGCACTTACAGTTGTGGTCCACAAGCTCCCTAGCGATTACATACTGTTTCTTGCCTGAAAAATTGAGCTCGTGTTTTAGTTTCAGCAAGACGCTGCTACTACCCAGCAACCAAAAACTACGGCTTTACCGGAATTCTACCTAATGGTAGCCGACCATATACCTGTATCTACTTCTCTTATCTACGGCGTCCAAAAAGAGATCCGAGAGATCATAGCGCCATCTGTGAGACAGTAGCAGAACAAAAAAAAACAATTTAGAAATCTACTACATACGAAGTCTGTGAATTAAGTAATGAGACTGGTTTTTTTATTTTTTTTTATTCAAATATAATAACAATTTTATATTGTCACCCTCAAATAACTTCCCTCTGACGCCTCACAGCACTGGAGACGGCTCTTCTACTTCTCATAGCAGTGCTCGAACTCCAATACTGGAATAGCCTTCAGCTAATCGGTTACAGCCGTTTAAATGTATTCGACTGCCCCAAAATCAGTTTCCTTGAGGTGATTTTTCAACTTCGGGAAAACAAAAAGGACTCGAGTCAGGCGAATAAGAAGGCTGAGGAGGAACATGAATGTTTTTACAAGCCTAAAACTCGTTTATTGACATTGATTGTGACAAGGAGCATTATCCCCATTTGTTCATGATCTGATGAACGGTGATGTGAGTCAAATTTATCTCTTCCCCAATTATTATGACTGTCAACCAATGATCTGTACGTACAAGATGCCGGATTCTGTCGATATTTTCATCGGTTCTTGAAGATGAAGGCCTTTATCTCTCTCTCTCTCTCTCTCTCTCTCTCTCTCTCTCTCTCTTATGGAAATGACCGAAAGACGTGGACCATTGACAAAAAACTATCTCCGTAGGCCTGTACGAGTATAGCAAGAGTTTCCTTTGCAATGCGCTTAAGTCTGAAGCAAAACCTAATAGCACACCGTTGCTTGAAATGATCACTCAACCGCCAGTTGGACTATAAAATTTAGCATGATTTTCTGTACAATCTTGAAGATGTTTAGGAACCCCCTGAAAAATATACTACTTCCCTTCTTCATAAAAAGTTGTATATTTTCGATGATCGCCTCGCGTCACAAAAATTTATGCAGGAGCTCATGTTCAGAATGCAGTATGTGGTTGGCTATATTCAGGTAGAATATGTTAATCAATTTTATTTTATACTTCAATAGGTTTCATACAAAGTGAAAATGGTAACAACAGATCAGTTCTACTACAGTCATCTACTTTGGATGTGTTCGTAAAATGTAAACTCACGGAAAACGTTTATATGATTTATTTATAGAAAGCTATAAAGCCGAAATTACTGTTTCTATACGAATTGTCGTGAATAGGCTTAACCTGCTTTAACAAAATAATCACGAGGTTAATGACTGTACTAAAGATAAGTTCCATGATCGATAGCACAGTGGCAGCAAAGCAAATGGAAGTTTTGTGAGTATGTACTAACACCCAATACTACGATGTCAAATTTATAAGAGGAAGAAAATATAACCCTTCGGCTTTCCTATTCTCAGATCGACGTATCATTTTGATGGCTATCGCTTATGTACAGGGTGTATGATAGGTAGAGGCGGACACATCCGATGGTCTCCAAGATCACCCGTCTTAAATCCTCTAGATTTTTTATTTGGGGTTTTATAATGGGTTAATCTATACATCTGAATATACAAATGTCAACCAACTGCGCCAGAAAACTGATGAAGCAAAAATAAAAATTATGGAAAAAGCAAATTCATTTCAAAGACTACAGGACAATTTTATTTGAAGGTGCTGCTTGTGTATAGAAAATAATGAAGACTATTTCAAACATGCTCTTTAAAAGTTCGTTAAACTAAATTATCTTCCACATTTGTCGGTAAATTGCCATAAAGAGCGGCTAAACACAATAGGTTCTGTACTTGTAGGTGGTCAGGATTCTATAGCGTTTCTTACGTTTATCGCATCATAACAACGAATGTGACATGATACACTCATCGTAATAAGCTGACATTTTTAGGGTTTATTCTAACATACATGGATTGAAATAGTTTGTCCAATAAAATGAATAATGAAATACAACCTCAATTTTTTTACCGCCCTCCAAAGTTGAGGGATGGAAGAGATTTTTCACAATAAAATGAATTTGTTGCGTTGAATTCTAATTAGCTCTGTTAAAAAGTGACATAAGCATTGTAAAAGCTAACCATTTAGCTCATCTCAAAAAAAATCACAGCCCTAAACCTAATGGTTTAGTTGCAATTGCGATTGGAAGTTCGTTTTTATCGACATTTCACAAAATTGCAAATATCTCCTGAACTATATTTCGGACCGCACATATATAGGGGTTCATTCGATAGATTTTGAAGCCCTCTGTCACCTGACTTCCGTTGATCCACTGCTAACTTCACACCATGTATTTGCGAACCATTTTCTGGTAGACATATGCAAGCAAAA